CATCCTGAGACCTTGCACCCCAAACTCCCAGCACCCCCTCTCCAAGCCCCCTGCACCTCAAGCCCCCCCAGCCCCCATCCCTGTGCCCCTGTACCCCAAATTCCCAGAGTCTCTGTGCTGAGCCCCTACACCCCAAACTCCTTCAGTGCCCTCCCTGAGCCCCCTGCACCCCCTTCCCTGGACCAAGCACACCCTGAGCACTGGCTGGACGGGGTGTGGGCAGAACCTCCCCAGGGGTGTCACCCACACGTTCCCCCCCACTATGTCCCCAGCAGTTGGTGGTTGGGAGTGTCACAAGGCTGTGGTTGGGGACACGTGTCCCTGTCACCAATATAAGGGTGGCAGTGGGCAGAGCCCCCCAGGACGCAGGTGAGGAGTGTGGATGTCGATACTGGGTAGCGCTCAGTCCTCGGCTGCCAGGGCTGGAGGTCCTGGAGGCTGGCAGTGGGGTCTCTGGGGTGCCAGGGGACATGATGGGGAACTGAGTGGCACAGGGTGCGCAGGGGATGTGGCGACCATGGGGTTGGAAGTGAGGAACTGGTGAAATGGTGGGCACAGGAGGGTTGGGATCTGTGGGGGTGACACTGGGCATGACAGAGGGGATGAGGCATGGGTAGCACTGGGGATGGTGGAGGGTTTCAGAGGGGACATGGGGAACACCAAGTGACACTGTGGTGTTAAAGGAAGGCTGGAGATGGCATAGGAGATGTGGGGAGGATGGGATGATGCTGGGGGTGGCAGGAAGGCCATGGGGCTGTCCTCAGGGTGGCCGAAAGTGACAGGGCTGTGATATCTCCTGAGGGTGCTAGTGGTGTCCCCAGTGTCCCTGCTCGTCCCTTCACCATGTGGCCCTACCTGCTGCTTGCCCTGGCCCTGCTGGGCACTGTGCCCCCCAGCTGCTCCGGTGAGTGCCCCTACACCCCCACCTGCCCGTGGAGACATCCTGGGGACAAATCCAACCCCAGGATAACACTGCCGGTGCCCCTAGGCCCTGCCAGCCCCGTGGCAGGGGAGATCGAGGAGGTGGTGGGGCTGGCGGTGCCTGAGGAGCATGTGGGGGCCAGCGACACACAGACACTCAGTGTCTCCAGCACGCCGGGCACCAGAACCCCCACCTACATTGTGGTCTCCCGCTGCCGGACCTTCCGGCAAGCACAGGTGGGATGGGGTAGGTTGGGTGGGGGGTCAGGGTGTGGGCTCTGGTCCCCCCTGTAACAGCCATGTTCCTGCAGAGATACTGTGCCTGCCGATACCGTGGTAGATTGGCCTCGATCCACAGTGCCAGCATCAACTCCTTCCTGCTGCGCATGGTGCACCGGCTCAGCAACGCAGCCCTGGTCTGGATCGGTGCTGTCAGCCAGCCCGCTGTAAGGACCCCCGCCCCATGCCCACCACCCCAGCCTTGGGGCACCCTGCCCCATCCCAGTGTCCTCACTGCCCACCCTGGGTGTCCCAGCCCCATTCCCAGTGTCCTGAGTGCCCACCATGAAAGCCCCAGCCCCATCCCAGTGTCCCTGGTACCCACTCTCGGTGCTCCAGCCCTGTCCCAGTATCCCTAGTGCTCTGGGATGTTCCATTCACATTCCATCAGCCCCGCTGCCTATCCTGCATACCCCACTGCCAACCCTGGGAGTCCCATTGCCATCCTATCTTCCCCAGCACCCACCCTGGGTGCCCAGCGTGCCCTTCACCCCCCCGGGCACCCCATGCCCCGTGCTGGGGGTCCATGTGCCCTTCTACCTGGCAGTTCCCGAGACCGAGCTGCCACTGGACCGACCAGAGCCGCTGGGACTACAGCCAGTGGGTGCCTGGGCACCCCCTGCCCGGCCACCGCTTCTGCACCAGCCTCTGCTCCAACAGTCAGTGGGGGCTCCAGGGGGCCTTTACGGGGGCTGCAGGGAACCCCCTGCCGGTGGTGGGGTTGGAGGGGAGGATGTTGGGGTACCTCAGGCTGGGGAGAGACACTGGGGCGCTGGAGTCTAGTGTGGGGTGACTGGGGGATCTGTCACTGGGGGGGGCTTGCATTGAGGGGTCAGTGGGTGATCCCTGGGGCTGAGGGGGTCTTTGTGGATGGGGATGCTGGTGGGTGCCAGCCTGACCCCCCCCCTCTCTCCAGATGGACTCTGGATGAGCGTGAACTGCAGGAGGCAGCTGCCCTTCATCTGTGAGATTTGAGGGTCTCAGCCCCCCGGGCCCTCCCCTGCCCGCCCTGCCACCGACCCCCACATGGGGCGCTGCGCCCTCTCTCTCGGAGCTCAGTAAAGCCTTGGTGTCAGCACTCACCTGGTGTTTGGGGAGGGGTCAGGGGGCATGGATGGGTGCTGGGAGCAGCCAGGGGGTAAGGGGGCTTTTGCGGGTGTCCCTTGTTTCCTGCATGGCCCCTGGGTGGGAAATGGGGGGGGACAGGGTCCCCTGCCAACGGGCAGCACTCTGCCCCCCCCCCCTCTGCTCCTGCACCCCAACCCTGCCTGTCAGGCCCCCATAACCAAGGCTGGACATGGGTGGGTGCTGTGAGCCATGGGTTTATTGTAGGGGGGTGCAGCCCCCCCGGCATGGGGCCAGTGGGGAGCAGGGAGGTGCCAGAGGAGGGCGCATAGGGGCACCATGGGGACAAGGGACGGGGCACAGGGGACGCTGGGGTTGGGACTGGGCATGCAGGGTGGGCACTGGGGACAGTGGCATGTGGATGGGGCTCAGTGTGGAGACTGGATGGGCAGTAGGAGCCCAACGGGGGTCCCGGCAAGCCCCTCACCCAGCCGTGGGCTTCCCCTCAATGGGGGGCAAGTGGGGGGCTGCCCCATGGCACCAGGGCTAGAGGCCGAGGGAGAAGGTGCCCGAGTCGGTGGACTGCTTGTCCCGGGTGCAGCCCCCCAGTGCCCCTGGGGGACATGCCATGGGGGTGGCAGGGGTGGCGGGTGCACCAGCCTCTGGCACCTGTGGGGCGGGGGCCGGGCACTGAGTTAGTCACTGCCCCACAGCCAGGGCAGCCGGGGGGCTCAGGGGCACTGCCTGCATGTCCCCCACTAGCCAGCCCTACAGAGCCCCAGGTAGGGCAAATCGAGCCCCCCGGAGGTGGCCCCATCCCCACGGCACCACGGCCCCAAGTCTGACCTCCTCGAACTTGCGGGCCTTGTAGTGCTCGGCACCCTTCAGGAAGTTGAGCAGGATGATGTCGCACAGCACCGTGCCCTGGGGGCAGCAGCATTGGGGTGGGGGGCCCTGTGCTACAGGGCACCCCCTGATCCCCCCCAGTCCCCCATGGAGCCAGTCCGCTGTCGCCCCGGGGCTATGCTGTGTTCCCATGGCTACGGGAGGTGCCACCAGGCCAGGGCTGAGAACGGCCACAACTCACCACACCGATGGAGGTGAAAGCTGCCACCATGTTGATGAGGGTGGGGACAAGGCTGAACTTCCCGGCCTGGGGGTGCAGAGCCCCTGTCGGTGGAAGCCCCCAACCCTGCCACAGACCCGCGAGCCCTCGGCCCCACACGTACGCTGCCGTACACCAGGACATCGAAGCGGATGCCGAAGGCCTTGGTGAGGGTGCGGCGCTCGGAGCCGTCAGGCCAGCGGTAGTACCTGGCATGCCTGCGGGGGTGTGAGGACACAGGGACACAGGGACAGGGGCACACGGGGCCATGCCAGGCAGTGCACACCCCTGTGCCGTGAATGTCTTGGTGGTGGCACGGCCGTACCTGAAGTTGTAGCCGGGGGCAGGAGTTCGGGCCAGGCTGTCCAGGCGGGTGAAGGAGTAGTGGGGCAGGCAGCGCTCCCAGGCCTGGTCCAGGTCACACACCCACCCGATCTTGATCCCCAGCACTCCCCCCTGCCCCGGCCCCACATCAGCCACATGGCACACAGACCTCTGTTCCCACAGCCCCTTGTTTCCACGGCCTCACAGCCCCACATTCCCATGGCCTTACGCTCTGTGTCCCATGTACCCACATCCCCGAGTCCCCAAGTCTCATATTCTCGTGCCTATACACCCCATGTCACCACATCCCACACCCCAAACCCCAGGTGTCCACACCATGGACCTGTGTCCCCACATCCCTCTGAACCCCATCACCACACCGCCAATCCCCACATCACTTACATGTCCTGTGCTCCTGTATCCCAACACCCCACATCCCTGCATTCTGTGTCTCCATGTCACGCTTCCCTGTGTCCCCATGTCCATGTGTTCCCCCATCCCATATTCCCCCCATCCCGTGTCTCACATCCCCACGTCCCACATCCCTGCATCCCCACATCCCGTGTCTTTGTGCCACCAGGTCCCATGTCCCCATGCCCTCACATTCTGCCTACCTGTGCCCCCATGCCCCCCATACTCCCCTTGTTCCCCCCCGTGCCCCCTGTGTCCCCCATGCCCCCGCTCACGGTGGCGGCCAGCGCAGGGAAGTCCTGCCCGGCCAGGCGCGCCACGTCCCCCAGGCGCAGGATGGGGCACAGGGGCTGCAGCTGCGGGTGGAAGCGGCACCGGCCCAGCTCCACCCCACTGCCAGGGGGCGGCAGGTTGGTCCTGGGGACACAGTGGGACACGGGGGGATGTGCCCGTCCCTGTTTCTCCATGTCCTGTGTCCCCCTGTTGCCACGTCCCCCCCGTCCCCTGTCCCCCCGCCAGTGCCGCTCACTTCTCAAAGCCAAAGAGTGGGAAGCGGATGCTGTTCTTGATGAGGAGGGTGAAGTTCTCGGCCTCCAGCATGATGGGGCTGGGGGAAAAAGGGTGACCCTGAGGACATGGTGGCAGGGCACGGCCCCCTCTCCTCCCTGTGTCTCCTCGTGTCCCCCTGGCTGCACTCACACGTCAACGGTGTCCACCTCAGGCGGGCACCAGCCCTGGATCTCGCAGGTGCTCAGGGTCGTGTTGTAGGGGACACAGCGCCCTGTCAGCATCCCTAGGACCCCAGACCCATATCAGCACCCCTGTGACCCCCCGACCCCCGCCAGCAACCCTAGGACCCCTGGACTCGTGTCAGCACCCCTGAGACACCAGATTCGTGTCAGTACTCCCAGGAGCACCTCTGGGAACCCAGATCCCTGTCAGCAGCCCTGGGACCCTGAACCTTTTGTTCCTCCAGACTCCCAGTTCCCTCATCAGCACCCTGGCACCCACAGCCCCCAGTTCCCACCACAGCCCCTCACCGTGGCTTGTATGCAGACTCAGCCCACCATTCCCACCTCAGCTCTCACAGGTATCCCTCAGTGGCCCTCACGGGGTCCCTCAGCATTGCTTGTACCCGGACTCAGCCCCCCACTCCCACCTCAGCTCTCACGGGGGTCCCGCACCATTTCTCGTACCCAGACTCAGCCCCCGGCTCCCTCAGCTCCCTGAGGGTCCCTCACCACTGCCCGTGGTGGGAATCATTCTCCAGCCCCACCCTGGCCCCCCTCAGCCCCCTGTTCCCGCCCTCACCATTGCTCATACTCATCCTCAGCCCGCCTTTTCCCCGCTCAGCCCTCACGGGGGTCCTTTACCATTGCTCGTACCCAAACGCAGTCCCTGGTCTCCCGCGATCCCTCCCGCCCCCTCAGCCGTGCCCGCTCCCCAACTCGGCGCCCCCGGGGGCCCCTCACCATTGCTCGTGGCCGGGCTCAGCCCGCGGCAGTCCCGGTCGGCCGAGCAGCGGAACGCGGCTTCGCTCTGAGGGGCGGCGGTCAGCGGGCATGGGGCGGGGCTCGTCGAGGGGGTCCCCCTCGAGCCCTCCCCGCCCGCCCCGCACCTCCGGGCACACGCCCTGCGCCTGGTCCTCGGTCCGGATCTGCTTGGTGACCACCACGAACACCGAGGTGCCCTGAGGGACGCCGCCGTCACCCGACCCGCGCCAGGGTGTGGCCCGCGCCCCTCGGCGGCCCCTCGCGCTCACCTGAGGGGGGGTGACGTAGTCGGCCGTGTCCAGCACCTGCCCCGCGTAGCGCCCCACGCCCTTCACCTTGGTGACCACGGAGGACTCGACGGCGGTGTCCCGCACCTGGTACGCTTTCTCGTGGAGGAACACCCAGCTGGGACGGCACACGGCGGGTGACGCTGGGGGACAGCCACCCCCGGGCACACCCCTGGCCTGCGACGCCCAGGACCCCCCGGAGCTGCCAGCGCCAGCGGTAACTGCTGCTTGTCACCCCCCTCCAGTGGCCGCTGTGTCACCCCCCCCTCCAGGAGCAGCCGGGGACAGGGACCCCCCCCCCTCTGTCACCCCCTGCTGCTGCTCTGCCCCTCGGTGTCACCCGAACTGTCCCCTTCCCCGTCGCCCGCCCGAGGTGCTGTTCCTGGCTGGCCTCCTTGTGTCACCGGCACCGACACCCTCTGCTCGCTGTCCCCATCATGTCACCCGCGCTGCCACCCTCCTGTCACCCGCGCCGGCACAGTGTCCCGGCTGTCACCACGGTGTCATCCCACTGGTACACTCTCCCGGCTGTCCCCCTTGTGTCACCCCAGCGGCACACCTGAATTCCCGGCACTGACATACTTGTCACCCTCTCTCCCGTCCCTCCTCTGCCCTCTCACCCACCGCTCCTGGCCTGGCCACCTCCTCACCCCATAGCCCTTGTCACCCCCAGGTGTCACCTGCAGCAGCAAGTGGGTGTCACATCCCGCGGTGCCGGGAAGGGGGTACTGAGGAGGGGGGGAAGTCTCGGGAAAAGGAGTCCCGGGGGCGTGGGTTCCGGGCTGTGTCCCGGGGGATGTCCCGGAGGCGCCAGGCGGGGGCTCACCCGACGAAGTAGGCGAGGATGAGGAGCTGCACGCCGCGGTTGACAGCGCCCACCACCCAGCTCTTCACCACCACCGACTTGGTGGTCTCGTACGAGAAGAAGTCGCTCACCCAGCGGGTGCGGGGGCCCGGGGGGGACATGGACGGCGGCGGGGGTGCGGGCAAGGCAAGGCAGGAGTGCGGGCAGGGCAAGGCAGGAGCGGAGGGTGATGCGGGAAGGGCAGGGCAGGGCAGCGGTGCGGGCAGTAAGGAGGGATGCGGGCAGGGCAGGGTGCTGGTGCAGGCAGAGGTGCGGGCAGGGGTACGGGCAGGAGTACCAGCAGGACGCGGGGACTGGCAGGGTGTGGGCAGCAGTCCGCAGGGGTGCGGGCAGCCGAGGCGGTGCGGGCGGGCGGGAGGAGGCGGGGGCAAGGCGGGGGCCGGGGGCGGGGGCACAGCCCGGGGGGGCGGGAGGGGTCGCCCCCGATTCGTGGGGAGATGGAGAGGGGGGCAGGCGGGGTCGCGCCCGGGGATCCCTGCCTTTTGGGGTTCCCCTCTTTTGGGATTCCCCCTCAGGACCCCCGGGACCCCAACCCGCGTTGGGGTGCACGGAGGGGGCAGGGGGCGCCCCACTCTGGGGGTGCCCGGTTTAGGGGGGGGAACACAGACCCCCGCACGGGGGGCGCGCAGGGCGGGTGCGCCGTGCGTGCGGCCCGCGGGTTTCGGGGATGCCCCGCTCTGCGGGTCCGGTCCCTCCACTTTGGGGCGCCCCTGGTTTGGGGAGGGGTCCTCCGCGGTGACGTCACGGGGCTCGCCCGGCGCTGGCCAATGGGGGTCTCGGTGGTGCTGGGCGGGGCAGAGCGGCGGGCAGGGGGCGCGGCCGCTCTGGCCCCGCCGCCACTGTGGGCGGGGTCCACCGGCTGCCTGTGTCCTCCCCGCCGCCAGGGGGCGCCAGCGCGGTGGGTGCAGCTCCATGGCGGAAGTGCTCCTCGAGTTCCGGGTGTGGCGGTCCCGCGCGGTTCGCGCTGCGCAGGCGGGAAAGGCGGCGGCGGTGCGGGGGGCCGGGGGGCACCGGCACTGGGGGGGGCACCGGCGGGGCGGGACAGGCCTGGGGCCGGGGGGGGGGCCCGGGGGGGGGGCGGGGGACAGGCCTGGGGTCGGGGGGAGGTCCGGGGGGACATGTGCGAGCTTAGGCCCCGGAGGGATTTGGGGTGCGGGGAGGCCGCTCCGGTGAAGAGGAGGGCGGGCAGCGGGAGGGGCCCAGGAGCTGCGAGGACGCACGGAGGGTGGCGGGGCGACACAGAGGTGGCCGGGGAGCGGAGGGGGTGGAACATCTGGGGAAGGAGTGAGAGAGGCCGGGGGGTGTCCAGGTCGCCCCCGTGAATGAATCATGTGCCACCCCGAGAGGCAGCGTCGGGGTGGGCGTGGGGAACGTTTGAGGGGCACAGGGTTGGTTTTGGGGGCGCTGAGGAGGGCAAGGGGCCCCTCGGCGGCCCGGTTCACCCGATCTTCCCCACCCCACCACGCAGCTGCTCTGACTGACGCCCGTGCCGCTGCCCCGGGCATGCCGGGCTGGAGGGGCCGCTGATCCCCTCTGTGCGCTCGTCCCCGTCCTCTCCCGTGCCCCAGCAGCCTCGCAGCCGCCATGGCCGACACACTGGAGTTCAACGAGATCTACCAGGAGGTGAAGGGCTCCATGGTGAGCCGTGGGGGGGATTGCATGGGGATGAGCCTGAGGGGTGGGAGGAGGGAGCAGGCGCTGCGTGGTGAGGAGCTGTGGTGGAGGGGCTGGGGTCCGTCTTGTGCCCCCCTCAGGCCCGGCTGTCCCGCAGAACGACGGGCGGCTGCGGCTGAGCCGGCAGGGTGTCATCTTCAAGAACAGCAAGACGGGCAAGGTGGACAACATCCAGGCCTCGGACCTGGCCGAGGGCGTGTGGCGGCGCGTGGCGCTGGGGCACGGCCTCAAGCTGCTCACCAAGAATGGCCACGTTTACAAGTATGACGGGTTCCGGGAGTCGGTGAGTCCCCCTCCCCACTGCCTTGGCCCTGTCCTGGATTCAGCCGTGCTCCCTGCAAGCCCCGGGGCAGCTCTGCTCCCCTGTGTCTCTGGGGAGGCTCTGGGCAGAGCCTGCCAGCATGTGGGGGTTCCTGATGGATGTTCCCTCCCTCTTGCCCTGCCCAGGAGTTTGACAAGCTCTCAGATTTCTTCAAGGCCCACTATTGCCTGGAGCTGGCGGAGAAGGATCTGTGTGTGAAGGGCTGGAACTGGGGCACAGTGAGGTTTGGAGGTGAGTCCTGGCACTGCCATGCTGGGGACAGCCCTGAGGCCGTGGGGTGGGTTGTTCCCACCACTGTGGCTGTTCCTACCGCTCCTGGCATCATCTTGGGAGCAGCTGCCTTGGGGGCTGTGAGGACATTTGCCGTCTCAGGAGAGCAGAAGGTACCTGTGGACCGCGAATCTCAGGGGAACGTTGCAGACAGTGCTCAGCATGGAAGCTGTGAGCACCTGGCAGAGCTGCCGGTTCCCAAAGGAACCAGGGGAGCTGGTGGACGTCCCCCCTGCTCTGAGCCGGAGGACATGGGGACAGACAGTTTCTTATTTATTTCTGATCAGTGCCAGTTTCTAGGCTTGCAGCCAGAAGGGAGAAAGCCTGGAGACCTGGGAGGGCAAGAACGCGGTGGGGAGAGCAGAGGCACTGCTGGGTTATGGGAGAGGGTGGGTAGAACCTGCCCCGTGGGGCGCAGCTGTGACCTGGCCATGACGGTCCCTGCAGGGCAGCTGCTGTCCTTCGACATCGGGGAGCAGCCCGTGTTCGAGATCCCCCTCAGCAACGTGTCCCAGTGCACCACGGGCAAGAACGAGGTGACGCTGGAGTTCCACCAGAACGACGACGCCGAGGTCTCGCTCATGGAGGTCCGGTTCTACGTGCCACCCACCCAGGAGGATGGCGTGGACCCCGTGGAGGTGTGTGGGGCTGCTGGGGGGGTATCGGGGTGGCGGCAAGGGCCCCTTTGTGATCTCGTCCTTCTCAGGCCTTCGCCCAGAACGTGCTGTCCAAGGCGGACGTAATCCAGGCCACCGGCGACGCCATCTGCATCTTCCGGGAGCTGCAGTGTTTGACGCCGCGCGGGCGCTATGACATCCGCATCTACCCCACCTTCCTGCACCTGCACGGCAAGACCTTTGACTACAAGATCCCCTACACCACCGTGCTGCGCCTCTTCCTGCTCCCGCACAAGGACCAGCGCCAGATGTTTTTTGTGGTGAGCAGGAAGGGGTCAGCCCTCCCCCGGGGAGCGGGGTGAGGGGTGGTTCAGGGGGATTCACGTCCTTGCCTCCCTCTCTCTTTCCAGATTAGCCTAGACCCCCCGATAAAGCAAGGCCAGACCCGATACCACTTCCTGATCCTGCTGTTCTCCAAGGATGAGGACATCTCCCTGACACTCAACATGAATGAGTGAGCTGCCCTGCTGCCAGGCCACTTTCCAGGCCCCCCAGCCCAGACCCCGAGGGAGGTACCAAGCCCCTGGCGTCCCATTCTAACCTCTGCCCTCCTGGCTGTGCAGGGAGGAGGTGGAGAAGCGTTTTGAGGGGCGGCTCACCAAGAACATGTCGGGGTCTCTCTACGAGATGGTCAGCCGGGTGATGAAGGCGCTGGTGAACCGCAAGATCACTGTGCCTGGAAACTTCCAGGGGTGAGTGGCTGCAGGCCCAGTCCCTCTCTTTCCCTCTTATTCCCATGGCTGGGGGGAAGGGGCTCTGTGTGGTTTGTGCCAGGAAGCAGGGCTGCTGGTTGTTCGGCTGCGAGGGCGGGTGCAGGGAGAGCATTTGTCCTCGTGGATGCTGGACAGCCACGTTTGCCCCACAGACACTCCGGAGCCCAGTGCATCACCTGCTCCTACAAGGCCAGCTCAGGGCTGCTGTACCCGTTGGAGAGGGGCTTCATCTATGTGCACAAGCCGCCTGTGCACATCCGCTTCGATGAGATTTCCTTCGTCAACTTTGCCCGCGGCACCACCACCACCCGCTCCTTCGACTTCGAGATCGAGACCAAGCAGGGCACGCAGTACACCTTCAGCAGCATTGAGAGGTGGCTCTGGGCTGTGGGCTCTGGGCTGTGGGCTCTGGGGCCGGCCTGGCCATGCCCACTGGGGCTCCCTGGCACCCCAGACCTGACCGACAGCTCTCCTGCAGGGAGGAGTATGGGAAGCTCTTCGACTTTGTCAATGCCAAGAAGCTGAACATCAAGAACCGGGGGCTGAAGGAGGTACCTGCTGTGCGGGGCCTGCCTTCTCCCGAAATCCGGCTACTTTTCCCTCCTTTTTTCACCTCTCTTTTCTCTCCTTGCCCTTGTAGAGGAAAAAGGTCCGTGCGATACCCCTTCCTCTCTCTCCTCCTCCTCCTGGTGCAGGTTTCCTGTGCATGGCCGTGGTGGTCCTTGACTAACCCTGTTAACCCCAGCGTGGTGTGCGAGGGCCCCCCTAACCCACGTAACTGCTCTGCCCCTCTCTCCGGGGCCCTGATGGTGGGGAAGGAAGGGACATGTCTGTGTCCATCCTCCACCCTGTGTGTGCCCAGGGCCATGCCAGGGGCTGTATTTCAGAGTGGGAGGTGTGCAGGGGTTGCTCAGGGAGCAGCTCTCATCCCACCTCTCCACAGGGAATGAAGCAGAGCTACGATGAATATGCTGACTCTGATGAGGACCAGCACGATGCCTACTTAGAGAGGATGAAGGAGGAGGGCAAGATCCGGGAGGAGAACGCCAACGACAGCAGCGATGGATCCGGGGAGGAGACAGGTGAGGGCTGGTGCTGCAGGGGACTGTATGGGGCTGGTGTGGTGCTCCAGCTCCATTCCCCCATGATTATCGGGCATGCTGATCCCTTACTCTCTCCTCCAGACGAGTCCTTCAACCCTGGAGAAGAGGATGATGATGTGGCTGAAGAGTGAGTAGAGGCCGGGCAGGGCTCTGTCCAGAAGGGCCTTAGGAAGGTGCTGTTGGGGGATGCTCCCAGCTCGACTGGGGTCACCTTGTATAGCTCTGGAACTGGGAATGTCAGGCAGCAGAGACAGCTGTGGGCTTGCTCTGTTGTAACACTGTTAGGCAGCGTGACATAGTTCCAGAAAGAATCAGGGGCTCCTGGGGAGGCTTTGGCTGCTCTGGCCAGGAAAGAGAATGGCAGGAGGAGGGCTAAAGCCCTGAGCTGGGGTGAGGGTGGGTGGAGACGTGGTCCCTGCAGCGGTGTGGTGGGAGCAGGGGGGTGGGAGCTGAGCCCCCAGTGTCCAGGAAGTGGAACTTGGTGAGCCGTGTTCGTGGAAGGCGGTTCCCCTGAGGGCTGTTAACAGGAGCACACACCGGCTCTGGCTCAGGAAGCCTCTGGGGGCATGTCTGGCTGCTGGCTGGGTGCTGAGGCTGGTGGCCCCCGCGCAGGTTCGACAGCAATGCCTCGGCCAGTTCCTCCAGCGGCGACGGCGACAGCGACCGCGACGACAAGAAACCCGCCAAGAAGGCCAAGATCGTCAAGGACCGCAAGCCCCGCAAGAAGCAGCAGGAGGTGAGGGGCTGCTGCACTGCTGGGGGGGTGCAGAGGCGAGCGGGGCCCCAGAGTGCTGGGTGAGGGGTGCGCTGGGGCTCCACGAGTGTTCTTGACCTCCCAGAGCAAGAAGGGGAAGGACCCAAATGCTCCCAAGAGGCCGATGTCGGCGTACATGCTCTGGCTGAACGCCAACCGGGAGAAGATAAAGTCGGACCACCCTGGCATCAGCATCACTGACCTGTTCAAGAAGGCCGGGGAGCTCTGGAAGACCATGTCCAAAGACAAGAAGGAGGTGAGAGATGGGCCGCTCCCCTGAGTGGCAGAGCTGGGCCTGGTCTGGGAGGGGAGGCTGGATGTGGGGGACCCTTCCTTGCTCCCGGGAGGAGTTGGGAAGGGGAAGGGTGAGTGGGTGCTGGGAGTGGTGGAGGAGGAGGGAG